ACCCTGTTCACTTTCACTGTGACATTTCCGTAATACAACAATATGTGATTCGGGAAACTGATCATGAATGTCTTGTTGAATATTCTTAATATCCCACCTGAATATCTCCTCGCTATCCTCCGTTCAGTGCCATTGACCACAGTAAAATGGAAGGCTATTAGTTGATGACTGTTAAGGAAGGACAATTCCTTCTGCAGAAAAAGGATAATTTTACACAATTAGTTATAACGAGCATGTTTTTGATAAATTTTGACAACACGTGAAGTCATGCAAAAAACGCAGTCAAACCCCAAAATCTTGAAGAATTGACATGCTTTTAATGAGAAAATGACTTCAGAATATTAACGATTACGAATAAACTGAAATAATTAAAACAATTAGAGCGAATAAACAAGTCAAATCTTCCAGTTCTCAAACTTTGTTCTCAGCTCTTCGCTGCTATTTGTAACTGCGAGAACAGCCCATGCTTTTACGTCAGATCCGTGGAATATCAACACTCTGTCGGTCCCTATCGAATTGATGTACCGAAATAGATATATTTATTGCGACAATGTTAAAACATTCATCGTTTTTTTATAATTATTGTAGCATTCGCCCTATTTCGGAGAAAGACATTCTGATTCGACACCGGAATTAATGCTCATCTTATCAAAAACATTCTGTGGATGAATATTGTCATAATCAACTCTTTCCGGTATCACTCCATTCTAGATTGATCTGTTAGCCAAGAAACAATCAAGTCTAACTTACGTTTTCTTTCGATTATCCGATTGTGCAACAACATAAATTGGTACATTTGGTACAAATATTCGAATTTCGTCGGCTACAGTCAGTGCTTCACTTTCAATGCGTTCATTAGTATATCTGAGAAAACTTGTCTTCAGAAGACATCGAAACTGTAATGTAACAGATATTAAATATGACATACTTCATAGTATACATTGCTTTTTTCATTTATTGCGAAGCTGCCAACCAAAGTCAAGCACCTGTGCCAAAAGGAGGAAGAGACATGCAAGCTGGAGTAGATATACACCTCACCTTTTTTATCGTTCTAATTTGCTTCCCAAAGAAATATACATTGCATTCTGCGTCATTCCAGGCTTTTTATTTGAGATTTCTCGCAAAACAGCGTTAGATGGAAGAAGTAATTCCAATGTTAGCTGCATTGATTCGAATACCATTAATTTTTGTTCTTCTTATAGAGACAACGGGAGTTACTTTACTACTTTACTGCTTTGGCAGGAAAAAATCTGAAAAAGTGGAGAACACAATTACTTATTGTTATGGGTTGATAAGTTTAGGCGATAATAATAACCATTCAAATCTCAAAGGTCTCTCCTTGTCAGTATTATCGTGGCATTAATTTGAGCTGCGGAGGTTATCACAGATTATAAAACAGAGGAGTTATGGGAAGATGGCCGATTAATAGCGACAACAAAAGTAGAATAACGTATGTTCATTTCACACACAACTAACTAGTTGGCATTAATCGTCTCGAGAACTTTTATTCTATAATTCTTCAAGTTTCGTTCGCTAGCTTCCTTCCGTAGGGAGGTTATAAATTTACATATTTATTTCTACACAATGATTGCAGCAATAATGATAATTTGTGGCACAGCGGAACATGGAAGATCGTTTGTTTTGGAGGAGAAACCGTTTCTATTTGTGTGGAACTCTCTTGATCTGATAAAGTGAAGTCAGAAGAACTGTAAATGTGCAAGTGATGAAGATCAATGACCACAATTCATTTATTTGAATAGCCAAAGGGATTTACGATACCGAAATAATATCAAATTAGGAATGTGATTCATCAATTTATTAGGTGTTGTAAATATTTTTGCCGATTTTCCACAATAAAATATTACCAGATTTATCTTCAATATCATAAAAAACTTTTAAGATATTAAAATTCGGATCCGATTGAAAAGAAACCATTACCTATTTCTAGATACAATTGCTCTTTCAAATTTCCGCTTTTATTCCTCAATCTGTTGCTTGTAGATCAAAGATCTTTTAACATAGGAAAGGAAAAACATACTGAGGAATTAGGAAAGGTACGATATGCATATATAATACTTATTTGAGAGTTTAAATCTATTACTAAATCTTCTGTTTCATTTCAAATCGGTACTTATATGTAAAACGTGATCCAGAAACCTCTCTGCTATTCGAATAATCAAAATAGTGTTGTAGAGTCAGTTTTAGTAGTCTGAAGTAAGATTGAGAATGCATTCTTTGTCTTGACACTAGCATTAGCTAAATTCTATAGAAAAAATTGATAGAAATATGTGGTTTCGCCAGAATTATTTCCTGCAACATATCGCCAGCTCAATGAAGAATGAATTCTTACATTTAGACCATTGCGCAACCTATCAAGAAAATGACAGTCAACTATTACCGAAGGCGACGACAAGGAATTTGTTAGTTGATCTTGCTTGCTTATTGTATAATTCATTTATCAGTGCTTAGCAATTCATAGGGTAATATACACATATATATTTGTAAAATACATTTAGATCTTTTTTATTGTTAACTAGTAATATTGTGCAAGAACAATATTACATCCCAAATAAATCTATATCATTGAAAATCGAATTCAATACGTTAACTTTTGCGACAGAGACTTTTTTTGGTGCCACAAGCTGAAAAGGAATCATTTACGATAATACAGAGCGCAAACCCGACGAAGTTGGAAGCTAACCAAAGTTTTTAACGAAGTGATGGAATTGAATCTGAGACCATTCGACAAATAATTATCTCACTAAGAGTTATGGGTGCATTATGAAGTACGAAAAGGAACTATCGAAGAAACGATAGGAGGAATTGAAGCACATGTGGGAGTGTTGGAACGCATCAACAAAGAATGAAAGGATTTTATTCAAGCGGTCTTTCCCCGACAATAGAAGATAGAGAACAGGATGTGAAAATGATAGATGACCCAGGAATAGTCATTTAAAGTCGTTTTAAAAAGTATCATTTTATAAAATATTCATTTTAAAAGTCATTTTAAAAAGTATCATTTTATAAAATATTAGAAATGAGAAGTCAACGAGCAGTAGAAATTTGAAAAGTTTCACATTTCATTAACCGATTTTTTATTTCTATTTTATTTTAGATTTTCGAACTGTGCATGAAGCGATTATGTTTCCGTTTGTTATAACTTTGAGTTTACGTCTTATTAACTGACAGGTGGATTGCCATCTAATCAATTAATATCCTCAAAAAATCGTTCCAACCGAAACCTGGCACACATATCTTCTGGAACCTTTTCGGTGTTTTT